TTAGAAGCAGTGCTCCGCATCCTTCGCTGCGGACGTAGCCGTTGGCTGATGCGTCGAAGGTCTTGCAGCGGCCGTCGACACTCAGCATACTAGCCTTGCAATACTGTTCAAAGACGTGATGATTAATCAATATGTGAACGCCTGCTGCAACGGCAGTGTTGCATCTTCCGTCGTTAAGAAACCGCTTAGCCACGTCAAGGGCTACGAGAGAAGAGGAACAAGCAGTGTCAATTGTCATACTTGGTCCGTGAAGATTGAACACATGGGAGACCCTGTTTGAAATGATCGATGCAGCCCCGCCTGTCCCGGTCAGGCTTTTTACCTCCTGTTTTGAGGTGCAGGCTTCGCGAACCCAGTCATTGTTGCAGCAGCCTACGACAATGGCTATATCACGTTGGTTGCGTTCCCGCAGTTCCTCGGCTAGCGCCTCGTGGCAGACCTCCAACAAGACTCGTTGATGCGGGTCCATCAACTGGGCCTCAGCCATAGAAATGTTGAACAGAGCGTTGTCGAATAAGGCCATGTCTGGATATGTTCCAGCATCGTTGACGTAAAGCTTATTAGATAGGTCTCTGTCAGAATCTCTGTACTTCCACGGATCAAAACGCGTGAGTGGAATGTGCTGTATACAGTCCTGGCCAGACTGGAGTGCCTCCCAAAACTCCGAATCGCAATGAGCCTTTGACGGGAACCTGCAGGCCATTGCCGTGACAGCAATGGCGCTTCGAGCCGTAGGACGTCCCACTCCAAAGAGCACGCTGTTGCTCACGTCCGCTTCCTGCGTCGAAGAGATTTTTTCCAGGTAGTCCACAAGCTGGGCAATGCACGGATGGTCATATAAAAGGGTTGCCGGTAGCTGGAGCTTGAGCCTTTTTGAGAGGCCCTCCCTGATTCCAATAGACGTCATCGAATCTACTCCTGCCTCCACAAATGGTGTGTCATCTTGCAAGGGCTCGTCGCGGTTAAGAGCTAGCTTGAGCGACTCATTAATTGCTGCCCTTATCTGCTCTCGGGAGATGGTAGGAGCTGAAGATGCCGGAATCTTCTGATCTGGTGAACTGTCCTCCACAGGAACTCGTGGGGAACGTTCGGGAAAGTGTGAGCTGCTGTCGGGGCGCACATCCGGTTCCTCGCCATTCGATGAAAACGTGCCAAACTCGGTATGCGCCACTTTGAGACTATTACTACCCCAGCAAGTGGAACTCAATTTACCATCTTGGTAAGATTCTTTGGGCCGCCTGTGGTTGGCCGCATTGCTGGGTCCAAGTATGGGCACCTCCGTGAACACTACAGGGCCATTCCGTCCAACATCCTGATCGGTTGACGGCCCGACAACGCTGACGTTCGTCCCACAGAAGGACGAAGTGGGGGTTGGAATGCACCCCTCGGGAGTAATTAATTCCACGGGAGAAATTTCCCCATTGCTGCCTCCTGGCATGCTAATCAGGTGTGACCAGGGAAACATGTTCTTTTTCCACAAGCATTTGTCGTTTAGTTGCGCTTTAAAATCGTGTTGACCCGCTGCTGGGCCTTCTAAAATAACGTGGCCGTTACAGCCGCCAACCCCAAAGGAGCTTACACCCACCACCAGTGGCCGATCAGGGACAGGAAATCTTGTTGCCGTCCGAGGAATGGAAAAGTATTTTGGCACCCGATCTATTAAGCTGCTAAGGCGATTAAAATGAAGGGTGCCTGGCACACAGCGGTTGATGAGTACAAGAATAGCCTTGCAAATTCCTGCACCCCCTGACGAGCCTTCGCAATGGCCGATATTCCCCTTGATTGAACCCACAAGAAGTGGCCTTTCGGGGTCGTGGGAGTCCCCAAAGACAGCAGCAAGACTTTGAACCTCTACTGCATCCCCCATCCTTGTTCCAGTTCCATGGGCCTCAATGTAGTCGACATCATCAGGAGAGATGTTTGCCTTAGTCAGGGCACCTTCCATGGCACGCCGTTCAGCACCCTCGCTGGGAGCCGTGGTTGAGAACGCCCTTCCACTATGCACCACAGCATGCCCACGAACATACGCCAGTGGGCTCACAACCGACGTGTCAACATATTCGGCAACGTAATCTTCTCTAAGCAGAGAAAATACAACGACCCCTTCGGACCTAATAAATCCATCAGAAGCCTCATCAAATGGGCGGCAGCGTCCTTTTCGCGACAGCATTCCCAGGTTGCACAGAGCCACTGTGACCTCTGGAGCAATAATGAGCTGAGAAGACCCTGCAAGGGCGCATACTAGGCGGCCTGATTCAATGTGGCTCACAGCTGTGGAGAACGCAACAATGCCAGACGACGTCGCTGTATCGATTGTCATTGAAGCCCCCTCCAGGTTCATGCAGTAAGAAATGCGGTTTGCAAGCATTGCATGCTGTAGATCTACGATAAAGCACGACGGGGTGTCTCGTGTAGTAAGTTTTGCGTGGACGAGAAACCTGAACATATGCAAGGATATCATCAAGGCCATTGTATGCGGAGAAAGTTGGTTCGTCATCTGGGGCAGAACACGGCCATGGGAAGACGTGAGCACATTTTGAGCTGCTCAATTGATCGGCACTCTTCCGGCTTCTGTCAGGGACAGCTGCTGTATACCTAATATATAATGGCATCTGTGGTGCTGCAGAACCTACCAGTCAGCGCATGAGCATCCAATGAAAACACCGGTCTCATCTGTTGGGCCTTTCCGGCCTTTCATCAAAGGAGCCCTAGCCTCAAAAGCTGCCTCCAAAAGAAGCCGTTGTTGTGGGTCCATTTGCGCAGCCTGAACAAGCATGGTTCTTTAGACAATGCCAGAGGCATTGGCAAAGTGGCTCATCCAGGGCTGAGATGTGACAGGTAAACTTACTTCATGATCGGGGATTTCGAAGAAACGGTTGTCAAATGCCTCTGCTTCTTCAATGAATCCTCCTTCTCTGACATAAATAGTACCTTCACCTCCTTCTGGGTCGTAAAGCATATCTGCATCCCATCGCGAGGGAGGAATAGGGGTGATTGCATCCCTTCCTGGGAGGAGAATGTTTGACCACAAGTCACCGAGCGTCTCGACTCCCCCAGGCAATCGGCATGAAGCGCTTATGATGGCCACTCGCGGGGAGCCCTGGTGAATATGGATGGTGTGCAGGGGAACTTTGTTTCTTGAGTCCGTGCCGACACCCGCCGCGATTTCAGTGATTTTCGCGGCAACTTCCTCGATTTGTCTGCATTGGAGAAGTGAAGTGGGCAGTTCCAGCCCTAGGGAGATAGAGAGTGACCTTAGGAAGAATGAACCAGCCACCGAGTCGGTAGACACCAGTTCCCACTGACGCGCAAAGGAATCACCCGCTGTGCCCTCAACTGCGCAACTGGCAGCCTGAAGTGCCTCAATGACCAGATGTATAGAGCTCACGTCCACTGACGGACTGCGCATGGGTTGGTTGTCCATTTTCGGCGACGACATTATGACTGCTCACCTGCAGCAGGGCATAGCACGAGCAACCCTGGGAGGCACCAGGAGGTCACTCAATAATGCTGCATCCACTTCAGAGGAAACTCAGAAATTGCGATTTTGGTGGTGGAGTTATATAAGACAGAAGTTGGAGTTGTTATGTGCAACGCCCTGCCACCGCAGCAAGACACCATGCGCGGGGCGGCTCCGCGGATGGTCACCGCGGCCCGCTAGGCAAGGGGAGCCACATTATGGGGCCAGACAAGCCGCTGAAACCGGAGCCCCGCAAATAATCTAGAAAGCGATTTTTTTGCCAAAGTTTTTTTCGTGCCACAATTGTAAAGCACGCAACTGCACATCTGGAGTGCCCCCCACCAGCCGTTCCAGTCGCTCAGAACGGTCCGTGCACGTTTGTGCAACAGTACCCCTTTGCTACTCGACCAGTGGTCTAAAACCATATAAAGAAAATACCAAAACGAGTACTGTCCATCTTTTTGATTACCATCTACCCCAGAGGCGTGCCGTCGTTACCGCATGACGTGCGCTCTAGGTGACTCAATACCAGCCGCGTGGGCCACAGGAACAGCCGGATACATGGAAATTGCTAGAAGTCGTGGGCCCCATTCATCCGGGAGTTTGAAACTAATTCGCCAAACGCTTTTACAGGCCCTGGTATTTTAACTCCGGCGGTGTGCGTTTCATTCTAGTGCTGACGTCAAGCGGTCCATTGGACGTGGCAGTGCACTGCAGAACACTTTCTGCCCTGCTTAATCCACCGTTGCCTAAGACCTTCCTAATGTTACTTCAGACATAGCCTCATTCTAGCGGTGAATTGATTGCCACGTTTTCCCACCCCGCTTCAACGTGAAAGGCCTCGAATGCCCACATACTCCCCTATAAACTGGCAGAGATGCAAGAGTGGCATGCAACGCTTTTCTCTGTCTGGTGAGTTGCAGTTACAGCTTCATCAACAGTTCAGCAAAAACACTGCACTTGCTTCGAATGCACTGGAAATCGTCAGGCTGTATTGTGCGCAAACTTCCGAGGGCAACTGCACAGTAACCGGTGATCGTGGAGTTGCCTGTAGCAGGTGCTCGCTCCCAGATAAACTAAGCAATGCAGAACTTCCAGTAGGGTAACCAATTCCAGTAACAGATTAAAGACAGCTGTCTCAGGAGAAGCGGCTGAGCATCCAAAGCCAGTGCACACTCGATATGCCTTGAAATTGTGGATTCAGAATGAATTAACTTTGCACTTCGCAGGGGTTCACATCCCCCAAACTGTTGAGATGAATCTCAGAAAAAGTGGAGAATAGGACCTTGCAGTCCTTGACCTCCTGAAAATAAGTGTGTCAAAAATGATCACGTCGTGAGGGTTTTATTGCGATACTTCTCTTCCTTAAGCGTATAACAAGTTCAGGCCGAAGCTTATCTCTTCTTAATCGCCTTCCGCTAGCAAGAAGTTCATCCGTACATTGGCAAGCCAAGAATCCTCCCCAGAGCATTCCATGCAGGCGTCCCGTGGGTTAAAAGTTACTGTAGGATAGGTAGAGATCTTAGTTAAATGATAGCCTTTCATTGAAGCCTTTGGTGAAGGAAATGCACAAAAGAATACCCCTAACGTGACCAGAACGCACAAACTTGAATTCCTATGACTGAAAGGCGAGTTAGGCTTTGCCGCCACGATAGTAACTTGGTTTGGACAAGCGGCCGTTATACACCACGACACGTTGACTTCAAGGCCTGTAGGCAGAGATACAAAAATATGCATTGCCGTCCTCTTTATATATGCAGTCAGATCGAATCACGATTACTTCAGTACATAAGCATGGGGTATAGAAACGCTCTAATCGTATCCTGGATTAAGGAGATAGTGTCTCACGCTGATAAGGTCAATGTAGTCGATAACGTTATTTTTTGCTTGCGGCAACAATTCTTCAAGTATCGACCTGATCTGCTCGCGCGGCTGCTCAAAGCCTGTCTCGCAAGAAGAAATACACTGGTTTTGCTCTAGATGCACACTGGCGCTCGTTATGAGATTTGTAAGCGGTTCGTGAGCATTCCCAAACTACTTCCAACAGTCCTACCACAGCGGAAGAAAACTTCGACAGCTTCATCTACAGAAACCTGTCTCCCAAGTGACGAACGAGAAAACTCTTTGGTCAGTAACTGGAGCAGCCGAGGCTGCTGGTACAGACGGCCCCTAAGAACGCACGGAGAGGATGCCCAATGAATGTAAACGACGAAAGGCCACTTTACAGAGGCGTCCACGCTTGGAGGCATCAACAATGCATATTTACTGAAATTAATAATTCCACCGGCTCACTGAAGTTGCTTGAAGCTTTGCATAATTGCTTTGGTATCTTCGAGCTTTGTCGATTCGCCTTTTGCTGTCTCCCTGTATGCTTGAATATTCTGCGGGAACAGGCAAAATCAGGAAACCTGAATCTGTGCCTGCTTTAAGAAACCAAACTTGATATGCTTCTTCGGTAGTCGCATATGACCAGGAAATGACTCACGCTGTGCAGAGTTTCATTGAGCCGCTGGCTGTTGGAAAGGAATGCCCCCTGCAGCTCCAGTATCCCTTTGCAGAATTCTTCATAGTCAACTTTTCCATCTCCGGTGGAGTCGAAGTACCTCGAAATGAGGAGAGCGTCCTGAGGTTAAGCTCACTCCAATATTTGCTGGCTTTGTAGTTGTTTTGTGAAGGCGAGTTTCAGACCCTCCTGCCCTTCTTTACTAATCCTATACCTGTTCAGATATTGTGTAGCCAAAGCGCTCCAGTGCGTTTTGGAAATCTTGAAATGTCAAAAACCCCTTGCGGCGCTGAAACGTCAACACCACGAACAACCTAAGTACATAAATTTCCCTCAGTTGCAACGAATTTAGCCTGTTTCTGCCATCACCTCTGTGCACGAAGCTCGATCTATGAAGGTTAAACTCTTTTTCACCTCACCTCATCGCAGGCGGTGAACATTTGGCCAGATTTGATATCGTTTCCACGCAGACCGTCCCAAAGGCGCCTGAGATGCAAGAGGACGCGTGCTTGGTCCGGTTCGAGACCTCCTCCCTCGGTCGGCCGTCCAGTAAGATCAGTTACGCTTGTTATTCTAAAGATGTTCCTGTTTATGGAGACTGTAGACCTGCAGGAAGTCAGCGTCGTGTGATAATATCTCCCAATGTGGATGCCTTACGAAGCCCAGCAGAAAAAGAAACAGCACGATCATCTCAACGGCCCTTACCCTACGACAAAATCGCAGGCCTCGAAAGGTCTTCCTGCATCTTCATTGAAATATATAGATTTTTGGAGCAGTTTCTCTCCAGCTGTTTTGCTTTGCCTGAAAGCACCCGCTTCCTAGTACTTCTTAGGCTTGTAGGACAGAAAGGTTTCCAGCGTGAAAAGCGAGAGTTTTTGGCTAATCACACCAGAATGGTGACTCGCCTACCCATGTACTTTGGGCTCAAAGACAGAAACATATTTGTCTTCGGGGTAGAACAGGATATCTACTTCTCTGCCAAAGGCATCAGGGCATATCATGTCTGCAATCGTGGCCTTTATCAGCAGTGGACCTCCCTTCCGATCTCCCTTCGAGCACTTTGGGTTATCGTTGCCGTGGTCTCTCAGCTTTGCAGAAGTGAATGGCTGGTCTTCCACCTCAAAAGTGTCAATCTTGATGGGTTCTTGAAGTTGTATGCCGAGAGTGTCTCTGCCACAGAAAGGCCGACAACAGCAGAGTACTCAGTTTGTCATTTCCACACATGTTCTGCAATTCATTCAGGACCTTGGGCTTCCAAAACATGCATCTAACCATTGCAACCCACTTGAAGTAAGACATAGTAAAGGGGTCGGCAGCGTATATGAAAAAATCCCGGTCCGCTATTGTCACAACCGAACCAACCTAAGAACGCAGACGTTGCCACAAGTACTAGTATGAACTTTTCACAATAAAGCGCGCTTTCATTATACCTACTCAACAGGGCGTTCCAATGTCTTACTTTGAAATCCAGTAACTTGAAATATGCTGCTTCCGGAGGGCACGGATACGATGGCCCCACGCTTAGAACATTCCCTGCGCACATGTTGCCTTAGGCTTAGCTATATAGCTAGTCCGTACTTACGACGTACTGATCCCTGCTAAAAAGAGCAGTGGCATGTTCCTTGACTCACCTTTTAGCATTTTCCGTCTACTGATGAATATTGTAAACCGGTTTCCTCCAATAGGAGGTAGGTTCTCTCTAACTTCCAATGTCTCATCTCTGCGTAAGTTACATAAGCCACCGCAACTCGAGATATCTAGGGAAATACTTCAGTAAGAGCGTCTGCTTGGGATAAATGCTACATGATCCTTAGCTGCACAGCGGTACTCGGCAAGCTTGTTAGTCACGCATACCTGGGGAAATACAATATCGTGTACATTCGTCTTTCCAGGAGGTTCGTGAAATTGTCGTCAAAGTAGGCTCTAAATCTACAAACCTGCACGCCAAAGGAGATTGCAGGTCGCCAATTCATATGAGTGTGGATAGGCGTTGCTGCAGTCCAACAAGTGGAAGATGTACACGTACCGGCTCAGGGCTTTCAACGCGTTCGTAAAATTCGTCGATGCATTGCTTGTCTGAGTTCAATGCTACTCTGCAGGCGTGCACACCAGCCAATTCATATATAGCACCCATAGCATTCAATCTGATTTGATCCGGGTAGCGCAGCATCTAGACGTGTGCGTTGATGCCATACTTTTCTGTGCGATGCTCGTTCTGCATCCTGTGGTATGAGCGACCGGTACTGCCTGGGAACTCTGTGGTGCAGTTAGATGGTTGGATCATTCCCGAAACCCTGTACCACTCCTTCACACAAACACAGCTCACTGCTTGAGAATATAGCTTACATACGTCCTACACCAATGTGCCAATGCTGTGTCGGATGAATTATTGTCTATACCGTCGAAACTAGAAGCACAAACAAGGCCCTACCCTTGTGAACGCGTCGCATCCCGTTATGGCAAATGTCTTTCCGTATGCTGTGAAAGTTGAGCCGACGCGCAAGTCCGCCGGTGACACAAGCTTGTCCGGCTCACCAACGATAGGAAACCGATGTCTCTTAATTAAAGATCCACTGTTCATGCCGCTGTTGTCGATCTTTGGCTCGACAATCTCCACTGTATCATCCTATGATGAGATAAATCGCAGGGTGCTTGGCTCATTACAGCATCGACAGGAGCCATAGAGAAGGGAATTATCACTAGATGCGCTTTCCCACCTCGAGGTAATACAATATTTCACAAGGCCTGCTGCGATAGTTTTCCGCTCTTGATTCGTCAACGTGCTCGTTGAAGTAACTAAAAAATCTGAGGACTTTGTGCTCCATCACATCCCAGGCCGGGGCGTTCGTTGGTGTCGTTAAGTCCCTTCTGTATGTATCTCTGGTAGTAGCGACGGGAACTGTCGTTCCATCGCGCCATGGATCTTTTTCTCTGAATAAAGAAGAGCCAAATATGAGGAATATTCGGAATATAGGTGTCAACACTTGCACGCGAGCCGTATCGAAGACGGCGGGAACTTTTCTTCGTAGGGCATTTACCTTTCCAGCGCAACGAAACGAAACGATTTGATGGAACGAGCATCTTCTGGAGAAGCAATGGACCTGCTGTTATGCCACATCCTTGATTGCTCAGCCGTGCAGTGGCCCAGGGACTGGAGAATGCCACAGACACGGCACAACTAGCCGGTGTTCAGGAAAATAATCTGTACCTAGACGATCCTACACTACCTACAGTTCTTGTTGCTGCACAGATTGCTGGATGTTGTGTACCTAGTAAGGAAATCGGCGCAAGCCTGCCAAAGAGGAATGAACCAACGGACTATTCGTCCTCGCAGCCCCGGCTACTCTACTCACCTGGCCGCCACAATCTTGGGACATTTTCTGAAGTATCCTAAATCACTTTTTCAGATGTGTCTTACAAGTAACTGACCAAGAGGCGTACCCTTTGACTCCGCTGGACACGGCCGACACTCTTGCGAGCGGTGCACTGCTCGCCGTGCAGGTAACTTAATGAGCCAAACTCCATGCAAGCTTCCCCCCGGTACAAGCTAATTCAGCTAGAAAAAATGCATGCATTTATGTAGTTAAAGTTGATAAGGGGCTCGTGCGAAGCTATATTCGGCGCCGGCCACAGGAACCGTCGCCCAAGCCCCCAAGTCGATGCAGTAGCACCACGTCACGGGAGAAGGCCCCAGTTTTATACCTCGTGAAACGCATGAAAACAACTGGAAATAACACTCAAATACTAACTTTTATTGAAAACTTTCCCAATTTAGGAGCCCTGTTTTGGAGAGACTTGCGTTGCTCCGTTCCGGCGACACTGATCGCTGCAACCGCGGGTGGCAGCACTGCACTTCTAAATCCGTAGTGTCTGAAGGGGAAGATTTGCGTAAAACGATTTAACCTTTTTTGCATATAGAAACCGAACTAGAGAGGGCTCAATGTCCCAATCTAGAGGTCCGGCCTAAGACTTGCCTCCTAGCGCAAACGTTGTGAACGCCAATCTCTACACAGCGTGAAACGCGAGTAACCATGCCCTACACGATGCCTTCTTATTGTCTTTGCACTTCTAACTATGGCGTTTTGAAGAACAGGAATTACAGCAGTCCCCTTGAATTTGCATGCATTGGAAACGAGGGCTCTACCGCTGGCGCTGCTGCTTCACGCCTGTTTGGGCCGTGACATACAACTGTGTTCAGTGCACGGGCCCCTTCTGGGCCCGCATACGACTGTAAGGCGTAGGATTTTTTGGGGAGAATAGAGGTAACAGGCGTTAGCTGTGTGACACGAATGCAAAGTTGCATTCATTTACACACTTAGAATTGGTAACGGACCCGTGCAGGGATATATTCGGCGCCAGCCATGGGGACAGCCGCACAAACCGCTAGGTGGGTTCGTATCCTAAGGAATAGGAAACATAAGAAGGGAAAGAAGTGTCTTATGCTTCTAAATTAGCTTAGCTGACTTTCCAAGGCCTTTCGATATCGTGCACACAAGCACCTCCCACCTGTCAGGAGGCGTCAGGGATAAATTCAGGCCGATCATGTAAATTGTGGAGACCAGAATGTGTCAGGAATTGACCGTTACTTTCCAATGCATTCCTACCTGGCAAAAATCACATGCTTCCAGAGATGCGTTGGAAAGGACAAAGTAAGCTTAATCAGGAAACTTTGACGGTGACGCCACACTATGCCATTTAGCATTCTGAGCGGATTTTTTAGGCGAGGCATCTGTGCCTAGCCAATAAGGCACAGCAGCAAAATATATGGCGACTTGGTATCCTTCAAGAAATTAAAATGATGGCGAACAGCTAAGTTCATTTAGCTCGTAAAGCAGGTAAAAAAAGTGTGTATATACTAGAGAAAGGCAGCTGAAAAAGCGCAGCGCCTTGACAGCACCTCAGTGTGGATCAGTGGCGGTGGGTTGGGAGAAGCACATTGTGTCTGGTTTCCTGGGGCGCCTCGTTAAGCTGCTAGAACCGCGCATATGTCTTTCGTGTGAACCAGTTGGAGAAGCGGAGGGAACTGAAGGCCTAGCAGTTTTACACTGGGGTAATCTTGAAGCGGTCACGGGAGTGGCAGGCAATTCGCACGGATGTCCATCCCCATCTCGCATAGAGTAAGAGCGCCCGAAAGAACCTCTAGCCGGCCGCTGCTGTGCAGGCCTCAGAAGTCGCGTAATAGACAGAGCATCTGAGCCTTTGGCAGGCACATCGTAGTTTCCCTCAACCGTTTGACCACTCTGGAGACCAGCGGAACCAGCGCCAGCGTCTCGGTCTGCCGTGACGTCGGTTGGATCACTTGCGCAAAAACCACTATCCCGAGTTCCTGTTACATTCGGAAGCGCGCCGCTCCGCTGCGTTTTCCCCCGATCAGCAGGCTCTTGGTAAGCGCAACTTGCCGAACTCGAGCGAAGCGCTTCAGCTGAATTGGAGTGTGGGGGTAGAACACTGGAACTCGCTTGCGATGGTTGGGGGTCGAGCTTGTAATACCGGCCTACCGCCCCAATATCAAGCCAATCTGTTGGGACGCAGTCACGCTTTGCACCTTCAGCCCTAAGTGTTGCAAGCTTATGGTGAGGGAGAGCCGCTGAAGTGCCAGCGCAAAAGCGGAGCAGCTGCAAACCAGTGCTAGATGAATCCTCGAAGTCATTTGGGTGTGAAGTCAAGCTGGAGTGATTCTGTAGCAGTGTACGCTGCTGGAGAGGAGACAAAAGGCATTCTCGAACTTTCTGCACAAAGGGGTGCAGCATGAAGTCATCGCTGCTGTCGTAGGGTTGCTGCTCAATCGAATGACCGCCGAAGCAGAGCCAACGTCGACTGTTGCCACCTAAAGAGCCCAGCTTTTGATCCTGAATAACCAACAGAGGGAAAAACTAAACGGGGACTAAGGTTGCTATCTCACATTCGCATCAGCAATGCAACATCGTGAGTGAGTGTAACCCTAAGGCTGTCCAGGAAGTCCACGCATGCAAAGTGAAGTGAAGTTTAGGTGCATATTTATTACTACGATCTGAGGCCGGAGTACTGGCAGTTTTGCATGGTGTAGTCATCTGTAAACTGGGTTAGATATGACGAAGCTGCGGCTGGCCTGGCTGAGGTAACACCGCCAGCTATCCTGAGGGAGGTCCCAAATCCTGCAAATAGCCCCTCACCTTGGATGGATCAATGCCTCCCCTGATAAGAAGCGTTCGAAGTGTTTCGCGTTTCTCCTGATAAGCATAAATACAGAACACATGCAAGAGTTGCTCGATGCTTAGTAAATGGCAACGCAAATTACTTCCTGCATCCGGATGTGAGCTGCTTTGAACAACAGTGGACAAAGACCCCCAATAAAGCGCTAGCAATAAATGCGTTTTGCTTGCGCCACCCCCAGAGCATCTTGCTGCAGACCTAGTAACGGGTATACTAAGCTCACTACAATTTGCGAACTACGTGGCAGTCATAAGCAGATACGCATCCCCACAGCATACGGTTAACAATGTATGATGCTGGAATTCACCCAGATGACAGCAAGTGCACACACCTTAAGAAAAGCTTCTATCATACACGAATTGTCTTTGCGGTTTGATGATGGCGAATCTACTTGCATAGCACAGTCCTCGGACTGTGCCCTTTCTGCATTTTCGAGAGACCTCCGATGGAACGCCAAGATCTGCTGAATATCGCACGCGGTCGCTGCAGCAGTAGTTGCTACACATGAGAAGTTGCTCAGCCCTTTGCATGCCTCTTCTGCTCCTCGAACTTGCGGTAACGACTTATTCAGGTCCATTGTAGGTGACGGAGATTCCCCCGTGCGCATTTGAACATCATATTCTTCGTCCGTCCCATTGTTGCGAAGTAGTCGTTCCAGCCGTTCACTCCGTTCCGCAGAGTCTGTTATCCCTGCTGCTTCCAGATGAACACCCAGAAGTGTTGGGCTGCAAAATATTGCACGATCCACATACACGAAAATATGCCTCTGACAATGCTCCCCAATGGCAGCCGCCACTTGCCATGCACAATCACGCGCATTGCAACCAGAGTGCGAACTATAGTTTTGAGGGAATTGTTTTGGTTTACGGACGTGCGCATCGGGCGATTCCTATGAAAAAGATCTATTACATCGGCTTTCACGTACCACAAAGTTGCAAATGAATGCATGAAGAGCTTCGCATGGAGGAGATACATAAGCCTGTCTCTTTGAAGCATCATGAGCGATTTCTCGCGACTCTCGTAGCCGGGCTGAAGGCCACGGTCCTCAGTTTGTTTTCTGTTTTGCATATCCTGCTGGCAACGTTGCTCTATCAGATGCTTTGCAGCATGATAGGCACCCTCTAGACGAGAAAGGGATGCCACAACTGTCTGCATTGCGTACACACACAGCCCACTATCCAGAACAACACCCGTGTACACAAGTGTACAGATAAATGGCGAGCAACAGTAACCCTTCTTAGTCTTCATGGCGATCTGCGATACTTACACTGATGAGGTCTAAGATACTGAGGGATTCAACGAGATGCCGTTCTTCCGCATCTGCCAATCCTCCACCCGAAACCTCCTTTCGCTGTTGCAGATCGTTTGCTGCATGCTTCTCCAGCAGTGGCACTGCCTTCTTATGAATTTTGCTGACAAGGCGCCATAAAGTCTCGGCGTGTTTCTGATGCGAGCCTTGGGAAACGCTGCCTAGATTCTGGGCTGCTAGTGAAAAGCAGCATTCAGCGATGCACGACCTGCAGCGTCAAAACGACCCGAAACTTTTGAATGACAATGTATGCCGAACCAATGGTTGACTAGGCGAACTGATGGGGCAGCTTTAGCAAACAGGAGCTGGAACACATCCTCTAATGCTTCACATAAGCTGAGCAGGGAAAACTAAAGCAGCGGCAGCTCACAGGACACGAATATCCCCCTGCAGGATGCTCCTCCCCAGGACTTGATTTAGAAGAAATGTTACCAAGTAGCGTACGGAACCGAGACGTGAATCCATCTGAATCAAACGATCACCCAGCCCATGTCACAGCCAGCCTCAATATATCACATGCAGTGCTTTACTAGAGTACAAGAGCTGCATTCGCTACAGGAACCTGCCAAAGGGGAAGAACTGACAGCGATTGGACTTTTGTAAAGATAATCCTGATATCTTCCCATGCACAGAAGCAGGCAGCTGCAGCACTGCTGTAGCAAGGCCTTATCGGGAAGTGGCGCCAAGGCTCCGTCCTTCAACTCGAAGAGCTTCATTTTCCTCTGCTTGTACGGGGTAGAGCTACCTGAGGCTCTGGACGAGTGCATACGCCAGCGTGTAATAGCCTCTGCAATCAACAAGGCTGACGCCGCACCTTGGAGACTCAGGCCAGCACCATGCAACGTCTCGTAATGCTGCGGCTCGAAAAAGAATTCAAGCGCCTTTGTAACCCCTTCAAACACAAACTGAGAACTAAGGGGATGAGCACTCATCACTGCCTCGCCGACGGGAGTCAGCTGAATGTACTGTCGGCTACTGCGGCGTGTGGGCGGTTGATCAGCGTGCTGCTGCTGAGTGCTGTTGTCCACGGATTTCCCATTCACTCCATCGACGGCACCCTGAGCAGCAGCTGCTGCGGCTTTTGTCGCTGCCGTTGCTGCTGTGCTGTTTGGATTTGGAGGAGCCGACGTCAGCAGAAAAAGCAAAGAGTGGGCTCCAAAGGCAGCTCGGGGCAAGGACCTCAATCTCAGCTCTGCGCACCACGTTTTTAAAGCCGTGAGGCAGCAGAGCAATTCAACTGGTATATTAGATGTCATTTTCCCTTCGCCATTCGTTTGGCTGCTTGTGTCGTCGTTTTTGAGCACAGCACCTTTGGGCCTCCGCAGGCTTGAGTCGAGATGGACAGCGAAGGCAGCACCAGCTGATTTACTTTTCATACGGAGCTCGTTTGCAGCGGTTAGCCAACCCTCCAGGGCACAAGATTGCTGTCGTAGTTCTTCTTCTCCCGTCTGCAGCAGTGCATCTGCCTCTGCCACTGCTTGTACCAAAGCAGACGCAGCGGAATCCAAATTTGCAGCCTTGGCGGTCGTTGTGTCGAAAGCATCATCAGCTGGGACAGACACCATAAAACAGGCACGCACATCCGCTTTGCAAACACCAACGCCCAGTACCGTCACCGAACTAAAACTTTTGCTGAGAGGTTGGATGAAGCACAATGAATATTTGGCTCAAACCCGCTGTCTTTTAGTTGTCTTGTTCTGCAATGTTTCTAATTGATTCTCACTAATCCCCTACCATCGGCTGTTTGCGAAAGGCTGAAGCTGTTCGGATCGCTGAGGTCGGCGCCTGGGCGTTTTGTGTCAATGGGTCCAGCATCTGCACCGTTTTCTTAGGACAATTCAAAAACACACGCAAATAGGCAACACTGCGTCCACATTTTGCATGTGCAGGGTGAAACAGCACATCGACCCCGTGCACGGTATTGCACACTATAGTGGGCGTCGAGCAGCAAAGGGGGGTCAGCAGGAATATAGCAGCGACGGAGGCCCTGGGGCACTTGCTGCGGGGAGCCAAAAGGGTGATATTCGGGAGCCGTACCCACTGCCTGTGAGGGTGGACCGATAGGAGCTGTTGCCGGTAGAGTTGGCTGATTCGTAGATTCCTCGCCTGCACTACTGCAGCCATCCCCGTGGCGAGCAGTCAGGCTTTCGAGCCGACCTTGAGAAAGACCAGAAGCCGCTATCTGCTTCGTGGCCTCCACAAGGCGAGCCCGGCATTCAGGAGAGAGTGAAGGCAACAAGCTGCAAGCAGAAATCCCACAAGAAGCACACTGCACAGCAATGCGATCATCCTGAGTGCTTTTTCCCATCTATCAGCTGCATAAAAAGCGTCGAATTGTCATCAACTCTGCGCAGACGGCGTAAATGAAGACAATGCGCTCGCTGTCGGCAGCAGGGTCACTTACTGGAGGGTGCCTCCTTTCAGTGTCAGGTTGCAAAGAACAAGGAAATCAAAGGCCAAATTGCGTTGCTCGCTTGATGCCCTTGCGTCCGTGAAAAGGGCGAAGAAACGGGCAGCGCACTGTTGCGAGAGAAAATCATTCAGTGGCTCGTTGCAAGATGCAGAACCCGTCTTAGACTGCAACTGGATCTGCACATGCTGTCCCAAGGCGCGAGTCATAGCAGCCATCAAGTCTACCAGCAGTCTGAGCGCAAAGTTCAGCACTCCCCTCCCCCATTCCTTTAAAAATGATAGAGCATAAAAATGTCATCGATGCTAACACCAAACNGTTCAATAAAGACGGGTCCGCTCACTCTTTGTTCTTGCAACGGATAAGACTTCGGTGAACCGTGGACAGGAACCTAGGACGGTCCTCTACAATCGCTGCTAGCAGCAGGAGGGTCTCGCGCGCGATTTGCCGTGGCTGCTTCGATGCAGGCTTTGGTGTTGCTGTTCCCTTTGCGTTGGGAGTATTAGCGCATGCAGAAGCAGCATCCAGTAACTGTTGCAAGATCTGCTGCTGCTCATAGAGAGGCAGAGGTACGCGCAAGCTATTGTATGGCTGCATCACCAGCTGCAGCAACTGGAGCAGCACACAAAGAGACTCCTGCGTTTGAGCAGTCCGCGGCTGCTGTATAACTTCTGCCAGGCTGCATACGCACCACGCACAGCACTACTTCGTGCCAGTTCCCCAAAAAAGCAGCAGCATAGATGGTAAAGCTGTGAGGCTTTACACAGCACTAAAGCCTGATGCTGCAGTAGTTGAGTAACCGGAAACGCTTGAGAAGCTTCATTGAAGCTTGTGGTTGATGGATGGCGACGGGCTGCAGTATATTGTGGCTATACGTACGCGTTTCGGTGCTCCTATGGCTGTGATTACAGAGTGAGATCTTCCGCCTTGCGGCAGCTTACCAGAGGGAGATCCACTTTAGAAGTAAGTCCGTAATGCTCTTCTCTCCTTGCAACGGGTGCATGCGAGGGCTCGACGGCTCGGTAGGGACGGTTGCGTCCCCCTCCATGCCAAAGAGGGGTTTCCATGCATCGTAAACAGACTTGAGCTGCGCCAAGTGGGGTCCTCCTTGCTTGCTGCTCCCGGCTGCTGAAGAAGCGCCGTGTGAAGGAAACATCAGCATCAAGAGATTGGATTCAACGCGCCCCTTGAACTCTTGATACAGCTCTTCCCGCAGAGAAATGGGCTGCCGCCGAAGAGTGGCAAAACCTGAGCCACTGCTTCTCTGGATCCTCTGAGAGCGCGTCGAGACAATCATAGGACTGGCATCGGCACAGGTTATTCCTGGTGACGCTTCAGGGGCAACAGCTGGGGTGGTAGCACGCGTTGATTCTTCGGAAACAAAATCCATAGCTTTCTGCTGGTGTTCTTGCAGTTTTCTTGCGGTAGCTGCGGTCGGCGACAGTGCCGTCTTCACGAGGGGTTCCCGTAGCGAAGCGTGGACTTCCTGCCGTGCTTTAAGCAGGAGCTTGAGGGTCTCAGCCGGAAGGAGATTTTGGTTGAGTGTGGCCTCCGCTGAGGGGGCTGCAAGCGGATGGAGCCCCTGCCCTTGAAGTCTCAGCTGCATCGCTTCTACGATTGACTCAGGCGAACAGCCGTCGTGCACAAGGAGGGACAGCATGGCGCTGGCGGCAGAAGAGCTTGCAGCACCCTCTCCGCGGAGCTGCGGGACGACCGCATCCAGGAGGTGAGGCACAAGGGACGACAGCAACGCAGACTTCTGTGAGGGCTCCACAGGCAGGGCAACACAAAACAGAGCAAACAGCGCCTCTCTTATCTTGGTGTTCCTGTGCTGCAGCATGACTCCCGATAAGCCGACGGAGAAGGCCCGACGCAGAACTGCCCCCGCGAATGGCCTTTGAGAGACAGATGTTGCTCCTGAGTTGCTGCTGCTGCTGCTGCCGGTGCTGCTGCTGGAGAGGAAGGGGTTCAGTAGCGTCATTGAATCCACGAGTCCCAAAGCAGTCATCCATTTAGCCGTTGCGATGTACGCTGCCTGCATAACCTGAAAAATATGGCAGTAAGAGAGGAAAACAACTAAAAATACAAGAATTCATGCTTTGTAAGGCTGTGCGCTGAGTGCCATGACACCTGACGCCCCGTTTCAGCAGCTATGCAATATATCTGGCTTNNATGCCTTTGATCATTCACTGCATCTGATGGGTGATTACCTTTTTGTCAGCATCGCAGAGGCATTCAGCAGCAGCAGGTAACAACTGCTTGTAGACGCGGGCAGCAGGAAGAGGAGACACTGCACTGCCATCTTGGGGCGGGGGCTCGACCCCCAGTCGCTCACAGAAAATAACCAAAGTCAGCAGCACGTGCCGCCGCACAGACGCAGACGGGTCCCCAAGCCGCTTTCGCAACAGCGACACGAGCCCGCTCAGCCCTGCGGGGTAGCAAGCACAGAAGAGCAAGCCATATCGTTCCTAAATAACGATAAAAAGTATAAAACATAGCACAGCGTAGACAAGCAACCAGTTCACGACATGAATGCATACCCGCCTGATCTACTTCCTTCTCTGGCGTTCAAACAGCTCTCCTCTGTGCATGGGCACTTAACACACTTAGCAACGTGAGGCGCGTATGGGCTTAGTTCAGTCCCTATGCTCATGTTATTACTTTGAAACCCTAAACCCTAAACCCTACTATTCAACAAACCAAGCCTTGTGACTGCCCACAGCCACAGCAAGATAGAACTGCCACTAAATTATATATATATATATATATATATATATATATATATATATATATATATATATATGCGAGGGGAGATATAAGTAAAAAGCGGAGAATCCGAATACCCCCCGACACTGGCAACGATAAAATGCTGCTGCTGCAGGTATCTCAAGGGAGCAATCGGGGCCCCCACCTTCAGGCTTGACTCTCCCCGCAACCTTGTTTACAAAAATGTGCATGAGCTCGTTCAACGCCTTGAGGACCGTTTCTTCATCTTGGCCTTGCTGCAGGCGCTGCAGCAGATCAGAGGTGATGTAGGGCGCAACCGAGACGCACGGAGCATCAGCTGACGAGGGGGGATCGGGGCAGGCCACAGCAGCAACTGCTGAGCCAGCAGCAGCAGCCCCGGCCGTCAGCGCAGCGACTGCAAGCTCCCATGTAGGTCCAGAGTCCTCCGAGGTGAGCTGTGCATGTTGTTGCTGCGGGTCCCGCTGGTGCTGCTGTTGCTGCTGCTGCTGTCGTTGCTGCTTGAGCGCGTGCTTCACGTCGTCCGGCAGGGGATGGGCAACGAGCATTGCGGTCATTGTTTTATCACCCAGCTCCGCATGCAAACGCTTCAACAAGGGGAATACGACTGAGCGCGGTCCCTGAACAGAAAGGAACAATCGACAAAGCAGCAGAAAATGCATCTAACGAACGTTGCCAGGGGGACAAGAGAAGAAACAGAAAAAAGAAGAAATGCAATCTGCAGAGGTATGATACTAGACTCTCGTGCTGACTCTTTTTCACCTTGCTCGGTTCCAGCATCTGCCGCACAATCATCAGCAACTGCTTGGGTGGAGTAAAGGCCGGCAGCCCCCAGAGCTGCAGCAGCTGCTCGAGCAGCTGACAGACACCGTGCATGATGCGGCCTCCCCCTACCCGCCCTTCGGCAAGGAGAGCGAGCTGAGCAGCAACGGTCGTCGGTGTCTCTACGCACTTCGCCAGTAGAAGACCAATGGTCATGATGGTGCTGCCCACCCGCGGGTCTCCCAGGCGGTCACCCAGAGGCTCTAATACAACATTCACAATGGCCTTATCAACAGGCGGCAGTTGCCGCCCTCTTGGGGCTTGGCTCCTGTACGTGTTCAGTTTCCCCAAATTTGCTGCTTCCTTCCCTCCTGCTGCTGCTGCTGCTGCTGCTGCTGCTACCACTGTGGAAGCTTCTTCTGGAGGCAGCAAACCCCCCAAGACGGCCTGCAGAGACGTGATGCATGCATCTTCTAGAGCGGCAGTTCGCTCCCTGAAGCCTCTCATCTTAGAGCGCAAGTGCAGCAAAACATGAACAGCGGACGTTCGTAGCAGTTCGAGTCGACAGCAGCTGCTGCTGCTGTTGCTGCTGCTGTTATTTGTTGTGTTTGTGGACCCCTCTTCAGTATCCATTTCTCCGTTTTCAACTCTGCAGAGATTGCAGTCACACGGCCGGCGAAACCACTGCTCAAGCGCTTCATATGCCCTTTTCCGCTCGAGCCCCGCAGGGGCCTCCAGGTTCTGCAGCAGTTCGGCAGGCAGCAGCTCTCTGGTCTTTATCTCCGCCTCGTCTAGCCCCGTGGCTGCATGCGGCGCTTCCCACTGGCCTCCTGCTGCAGGGGCCCCATGGGTACCTGCCCCTAAGGGGCCCACAAGTGCTGCCCCTGCCGAGCCAATGCGCTGCAGGGGGCCCCTTGCACTGAGATTGCCAACAGACGCGCTGGCTTGTCTGCGTAGGGTGCTTCTAGTAAGCCCAGTAGCCACCGTTCCACCTGTCTTCTCAGGAGCAGCAGCAGTGGCCTGCACTGCTGCTGCTGCTGTTCCTGTCGCTGCCCCTGTTGTGGCGGCAGCAGCACCGCGACTACGCATGCGCGAAAACGGGACGCCTGGAGTGGGAGCTCCTTGGTTCGGCGGGCGGCGAGGAGAAGATATCTGAGGCTGTTGTCCTTTTGCTGCTGAGCCTGCTGCTGCCATTGCCTTTTGCAGTTGCTGTCGTTTGGGTTCAGACAGCTTCTGCATCGCTTCCCCCACTGCAGCAGAGCCCTGTGCATGCTTGGCAACAGCAGCAATCAGCCCCACTCCTGCTGCTCTCACCGCCGCGTTGCCGTCCTCTGATGCTGTCCGGCCTGCAGCAAGGAGCTGCGCAGCAACCCTTTGCAATGCCGAGGCACTGCCTGCCTGCTGTTCAACAGCTTTAGTTATTTCGTCGAGGAGCAGCTTCTGATAGTGCGCTAGTTTCTCTTTAATTGGCAACAAATCTCCCACCACAACGTCTAGGGGAATGCAAGAAAGATAAGTCCCAATGCAAGCGCATGCAGCCGACTGCACCGGCCTATTGTTGACCTTCAACTTCGCTAGAGCGTCCGGCAGCAGTACCCGCAGTTGTTGCTGCAGTTGCTGCTGCAGCTGCTGCGAGCCGTCTCCCCCAGCTGGCTGTAGCAGCAGCTGCACAAGCATCTGCAGCGTCTTCAGGGCGCAGGTCACCACAGGGAGAGTCGGCTCCGCTGCAAGCACGCGGTGCAGCAGCGGCAGCAGTTGTTGATGCAGAAACGGGTTCTTCTTGTACAGACACACGCAGTCTCGCAATGCCTGCAGGCAGCATAACAATACAGGTAAATAAACAAACAAACATATGAAAGAGAAAATGTTTTATTGAAGGAAAAACATCAATAAGCGATTCGAGTAGCAACAGGCTCATCAGCAGCCTGGACCCACGAACTCAGCGCATGCAGAAAGAGCAGCACCAGAGCATACAAATTTTGTGGTGGAGCTGCACTATCAGCAGAAACAGCAGCAGCAGCTGCAGCATGAATCATGGCTACAGCAGCAAAACCGAGAGGAGGAAAGAAGAGGAAGAGATAACTGACGGTCTCAAGTTGCTGCCAGGCCTGCATCTTGACCTTCCATGGGGGTTCTTCTGCCTCTTTGTCTCTTGCTGCTGCCGGCAGAACTCCTTCTGTTGCTCTGACGACCCAATCTGTTTGCTGCTGACAAACTGTCTTCAACACATCTGTCTCAGTCACGAGCCGCGAAGCCAGAGAGGAGGGGGCCCCTCCCCCCCCTTTCTGCCCGCCTCGGTTGCTCCCACCTGTCTGGGGGCCCTCTGCACTCTGGCCTTCAACTGCCATTCCTGCAATCGTGAGAGAGGGGGGAGGCGGCGGCTCAGTCTGATATTTTTCGATGAGTTTCTCCACTTCTGTCTGCATGGATTTGCTGCTTTTCAGGCTCTCAAGGATGGTCTTCTTTGCTGCAGCAGCAGCTACGTCTCCTGCTGCAGCCCCTGTGAAGTATACTGCAGCAGCAGCAGCAGAAGAGAGGGCCCCTCGAACCCTCTTGTCGCTGCAGGCAGCAAACGCGCCAAATGGGTTTATAAGATTCTGCACGCCCCCCACAGCAACAACAAGCTGCAGGCCGAAGCTCTCAAGCATCTTTTGCAGCAGCTCCAGGCTGCTGCCTATAACCCGAATGCCCTGGCCTTTTATTGCTGCTACATTTCCCTTTTTCTCTGCTAGCAATGCCTGGCAGCTCGCGGCTAAGAGATTTGTAGTTTCAACTACACAGGCTTCTGAGGCCCGACTGAGCTGCAGCAACACGTCGCAGCAGCAAGAGAAGTGTTTCGGGTTCGACAAGATCTGCGATATGATTTGCTTTCCATGCTGCTGCAGCAGCGGTAGTGCTGCAGAAGCAGGAAAGGCAGCAGCAGTACCAGCTGCTGCTGCATTCCTAGCTGACGTGCAGCCCACAAGCGCCTGAAGCAATTCAACTGTTTTGGTGCCCATGAGAGCATTTGTATCCTTTATAATCGAACTAAAGTGAGGTTTCATCAGTTCCTCCCATAGTTTAACCCTCTCCTCGCAGCTAGAGCAGCTGTCTAGACACCCCACCACCTCGTCGCACCCATGCGCCCTCTGTTTAATTACTTTACTTTGGAGGCGAGCGGCTAGCGGGATACCTGAAAAGTCTTCAACTTTCAGGGGCCCCAGCCCCCCATCCCCCAGCTCCCCCAACGCAGGCAGCGCCATATCTACCTCTGCTGTATCGCAAGCCCCAGACGACGGCCTCTTCTCTGGGGGGCTCTTGCTGACCCCCCTTAAACCTATCTCAGCATCAGCAGCATTTACAGTAACTTCTCCCCCCTGGTTGCCTGTGGGCGACTTCAGAGTCAGCCGCTGCACACCCAAGCAAGAAGAATCCAGCAGAGCTGTTGAAGCGGAGAGACCATCAGAAGTTGCTACTGCTGCTGCTCCTGGTGCAGCAACTGCTGCTGAAACGCCTGTTGTTGCTGCTGTTGCGGCTGCTGTTGCTGCTGTTGCCTGGGGTGCTGCTGGTGTGGTGGTGCGAGCTGAAGAGGCACATCGAGCTGTGTTGTTTGCTTCTATATCTGAACTCAAGGATGCTGCAGCACCATCAACTTTCATGTGTAGACGGTCAGAACGCAATGCGCCTTCCTTTGCTGCTGCTGCTTCTTTTCTTGCTGCTTCTGCATCGGTTTTTGCTGCTGCTGTCCCCGCGCAAGTGGTTTGCGTCTGTTGAGAGTTCTCTGCTCCTCTCGTTGTTGCCATTGCGTCTTCGAAAGAGCGGCGAACGCTTACTCTTCCTTCTGCGCTTCCGCTGGTGTCACCCCCTGCTGCTGGTTGCTGCTGCTGCTGCTGCTGCTGCTGCGGTTGCGGCTGAGATGCAGCAGTAGCATCTACATCAACCGCTCGAAACTTCGATGCTTCACTAGAATCAGCAGGTGGGTTCAACCGACGTCCCAAGAATTCTTGCATCTTCTTCGGGCGCGCCTTGGGGAACAGAAGACGACGCTTACGAGGGGGGTCTGCCTCTTGTGCTGGAGGGGGCCCTTTGGGCGCTGCTGCGAGCAAATGTTGGGCCCCCTGAGACGCATCCGTGTTTGCAGATGGAGGCGGGGGCCCCTGGGGCTGCTGTTGCTCCTGCTGCTGCTCCATCTTGTAGGGCGGCAGTTAAGGGTTTACACACGCTGCATGCATGCACACCCTGCAATATCCCTCTGTTTTAGAGGGTCACTTCACGACAAAGCAGGTTGGAGGAAGCGACTTATTCATTATAATATGTTCATAAAACAAGGGGGGAGGAAGCGGCGTTATGGAGGGAGGAAGACAGAGGTAGTAACAACTGCTGCTCACTGGGGGGGTTAAGCAGCGGGTTAAAGACCAAGGCCAGCTGCTGCGTGCGTAGCACATGCATACTTTATTATATTTTTTAAATGAAATTCTTAGTTCCGTGATGATAAGAAAAACATACGATCAGGCAGCCCCTATGTCGGCAGTGGCT